TTTGATTTGACTTAAGATGAATCTAATAAACCAAAGATCAATGTGAATTAATGACAGGGTTTGGAATCGAAATCATAATACAGAACTTATTATTGAAATATGTGATGGACTTCGTCCACCAATTGTTACAAATGCACCGAAGGTTATGTTGAACTAGTAATATCTTCATAAATCTCTATCTATAAAAAAAAGCATTGTGCGACCGTGACGTTAAGACTACCCTGCATAAAAAGGTGGATTTAAATTGGATCGTCCGTCATCATGTGTCTGCGCCCTGTGCTACAGATTTTTATATAGTGGCGCATCATTTGACATTGATTAGCAGCTCTAATCCCAATACAATTTTGAATTAGGCTGCATAAATGATTGGCGTAAAAACAAATAATCCAATTAGTACTAATTGTAATATAAAATATAAAAAATTTATTGAGCAATCGTCATTGTTTTTTTAAAAAAAAAGTTTTTTGGATTTTCCGAATTTTCCCATATGACGAAAAAAAATCCCTTTCTTTTAAAAAAAAATACACCTTTTCTTTTACATTTAATTTTTAATTTCTAATACCTGCACAGCTCTCAAAGTAGGATTTTACCAGGGGGATTGAACATTTTTAATAACAGCAATTAAATAATTATGCAAAAAACCAAAAAAAAACCAAAAAAATAAAGCTTTCTTTTTTTAGGTATCAGTGGTTTTCTTGGTTTGTCTTCAGACGCGTGGAAATTTGGTAAGGAAGGATTTAATACATTTCTTTTAATCAAACATTTCTAACAGTTTGATTTTTCATTTTTTTAGATAACTGAATAAGGAATAATTTATACACGAACAGAATTGTGGTGAGTATTTTTTCTTTGAAAATTTTTTTAACAAAACATTTACTAACATCATGTTTCTTCCTTTTTTATATGGTTTGTTCATGATTCTGGACGTGTGAAATTTTAGTAGGTTCTTTTAAAATGCTTCTTTTAACATAATGTTAGTTAACAAAATGTTTACTAATGTTTATTTTTGCATTCTGTAGGGTGGTTCTTTGGCTCTTTCCAGACATGGAATTTGTAAGTGTTTTTCATTAATTTTTTTTATTTCTTAATGAAATGAAACATTAAAACTAACATTTTGTGTTCTATATTTTGTAGTTTAAACAGTACTACTGCAACACCTTGGACAGATGTAAATTTTGGTAAATAATATTTTCCTAACATTATTTCTTTAACGAAACATTATTGATGATTCATTCTTTTCTTTTTTTTAGTAGATGATCAATTTTTGAGAACTTTGGGTAAGTTCTGAAAATGAATTTTAAACTTTAAAAAATGTCACTAATTTAACTTTTTTTTTGTAGGGAACACCCTTTTCTCTTTTTTAGGTTTTGGTGGTACCATTCAGAGTGAAGGTTAGTTTGAATTATATTTTTAATTTTTTTTAAAAAATTCTTTTTCATAATTACTAATCATTTTTTCTTTTCTTTTTTTAAATTTTGGTACCTTTTTTTAGGTCTAATGATTCTTTGGATGTTTTTTAGGTTTGCCCGGCTTCCTAATGAACCACTATGACTATTATAATAACTATTATAATAAAAAATGTATTGCATATTATTTATACTGACACTCATTATCTGTTATACTTTGTAATGATTAATATTCCTATTAATATGTAATAATTTTTAAAATATTTCGCAAGGATTGTGAGTGCTGTAAAATCACTATGGCATATGAAGTTTATACCGTAATATATTAAATCGTCGTAATGCCGTAATTATTTAATGCTAAATATACAAAAATTACACAAAGAAAGTAAATATTTTTTTTTATTATGCCGAAGATAATTTGTAATCCGTAAATCTATAATGCTGATCTTGATGATTTGTTAGATATTTAAATGGTAAAATCCATATTTCGTAATGCCGTAAATTCAATTCGGCAATTCCGACGGCACCTATAAAAATCCCTTGCCATACACAGCCTATGATTCCCTATTTACCACAAAATTCTAAATTAATGCTAATAACATTCTAGACTTTATATAACAGCTTAGCAGAAAGGTATCTGATTTTCATAATTTTAATTAGCCAGGCCCGCGTAAAACGCGGGCATCCAGCTAGTTGTATTATAAATATAAACCAACTAAAATTATAGAGTCACCAGATATTGGATCTATAACAAGTAATCTAGACGTTATATATAAAAGCAGACCTTTAAGTGCAATGACAAAATCTGCAAAATCTACGAGAAATTTAAAAAGTCAAAGTATTAGTTTAAAATTTGATAAATAATGTGTCAGTTAAATTTATTTGATTATTTCTGTACAATTATTAAACTTTTGTATATACTATCAAAAAGAAAAAGAAAGTTTGATGATAATCTGTTTAAGCTTTTTTTTTCCATGAATTAATTTAGCAAATTTATTTTTATCTCAAAAAATTTTAGATGAAATCAACAAAAAAAATCCAATTATTTGAAGATGAAAATAATGGTAAAAATCATATCTTATATGACTCACTATCTTTTTACAGAACTTGACTTGGATATTGATAATAATATACAATTTATCAATAATGGTAAGTAAAATTATTGCTTATATTTTTGTAAATTTACGAATTAATTAGTTTTTTTTTGTAATATAAATAGATTATATTTATTCGGCAATGATGCTTTTTTTTTCCCGTGAAGGTCATGGTTACACAGACTTTGAAGTATATTAAGTTCGTTCTATATATCAAGTTATAAATTTAAGACTATCGTGACTTCATTCAACGGACAGATGAACTAGCAGATAAATATTGAATTTATTGAAATACAAAATAAACATATTAATATAACAACATTTCAATTATAACGGGCAACCATAAATTATAATTTTGTACCTCCTTCTTAATTCAAAATAAATCATGTGGAATAATGCAAATGGTTGTACAGAATAAGTTCTAGCAACCAAAAATTTTTATGGTTCCAAAAAATTAATTTTTCTTGGAATTCCCAAACTGGTTTTTATTATTTTTTTTTTTATTAATATAATAAAAGTAATTAATTAAACAGGTGATACCTCAGATACAATATAAATAATTTTGATCTTTTAATAGTTTCTATATTTATATTAACACAAATGACAAATTAACAAAGTACAAGAATATTCGAATATTCTTTACTGCGGAAATAGTAATTTATGCAAAATGTTATCCCATGACACATTGACACAGCACAAAAACAAATATCGATCGTTATCTTAAAGAGATGTTAATCGATACTTGATAGAGTTCGATACAGCTACTCAAAATGAAGAATCACATGAATATACTGTAAGTCTAGATCACGCCACATAAGTTATTTTTGTCTATCAAAATTTGATTTCGGAGTTTGATGATTAAAAAAAATCCGTGATAAGGTGATAAGCTATTTGGTATTAGAAGTTACGTTTTGCATAGACTATCATCTTATAATCATATTAATATCGTTTAAAACCCTTTTTTTCTTCTTTTACCATACATACATACTTATCACTATACATTTGTTTATTTAGAAGTTATCGGTTGCCGATTTTCTTGTGGGATTTTGTTTTTAATATTAGGTAGACAATAACAGTTATGTCACGTGACCACAATTTTACCGAGAAGCATACCAAATATTATTTAAAATCTCAAGGGTTGCTTTCTTTTTCAATAATAAAAAGGTTTGGAATTTTTTCATTATTGCCACTTTTCATTATTTTTCATTTCTTTTTTTTTTACACATTCATATATTATATTGGCGCATCATCGAAAAAAACAAAAGAATGCCTAATTTGGATGTTTGAAAATTCATTGTTTCCTTTCACATGTAAAGCCTTATCAGTGTCCGGTTCACAAACTGCCATTCTTTGATGTTTATGGGTTTAAATAAAGTAATCATGATCATTTGGCGCTTTTGTTGATGATGAATATGGTTAAAATGAACTTTTATAAACAATAATAACTTCTTTGGTATGAGTAACGTCATCAAACTTAAAATGATCGACTCAAAAGCAGGTAAAGCAGGTACTGTACATCGTTTCACGAATAATCAAAAAAAAAAAATTTTTTTTAATGTCATTGAAAGGAATATTCTGAAACGGAATTTTTTTTCCTTTTGCATTTTTCTGATTACGTAACGTAAAGTATAATCATATATAAAATCCCATTGTTTTACGTATTCCAGCAAAACTTAAACGATTTCTTTACGGTATCGATTTTTTTTTTTTAAAAAAAAAGATTTTTTAATATTCTGCGGATTAAACAATTTTTTTAAAAAATATTTATATATCAAAATACTGTACGTATATAAATTATCAAATTATATTCAAATTATGGAACAAACAAATTATAAATTAAAAATTAATTTTTTAATAACTGATGATAATACATCTTTAATTAATAATAATCAACCTCAAAAGACGTCAACAAAATCAAGGTTGAAGAAATGTAGAGAATGTAATCGAAAAAGAAAGAATTTTAATGAAATTCATCAAATCTGTCATTTATGTTTTAAAGCAAAATCTGTTACACTAAGTGGAAATAAAGTTATTGATGATTTTATAAGATATACATTGACTAATCGTTATAAAAAAGCTGGAAAAATGGAATTTGTTCAATTTGATAGATTCATAAATATTAAACTTATTTCTGAAGGAGGTTTTAGTAAAATTTATAAAGCCACTTGGATGGATGGTCCAATATCAAGATGGAATGATAAACAACAAAATTATAGGCGTGATGGTGAAATGATTGTTGTTCTTAAAGAACTTAATGATTCTAAAAATATTGATTCTAAACAATTAAGTGAGGTATGATCAATACCATTTTTTGATATTTGTACGTACATATAAAATTATTTATATATTTTTAACTTTTTCATTTTTTTTTTTTTAGCTCAAAGTATTTTATAATCTTATTTTACAACATAGAAATCATGGTGATTATAATGATTTTGATAATCATAATTATACTACCAAATATTTTGGTATGACTCAAAATCCCATCACCCAAAATTATATGATAATTACAAAATATTATAAATCAGGAAATCTTTCAAATTATATAACTAATGATTTTTTTAATATTAGTTGGCATGATAAATTAATTAAATTACTTCAAATTATAAGTGGCTTAAAAAATATACATTATGCGAATATTATTCATAAAGATTATCATAGTGGAAATATTTTTATAGATTATCTTGCTATAATAAGTGATTTAGGAATAAACCAATCTGCGATTGATAATAGTGAGATTTATGGTGTCATTCCTTATGTTGCTCCAGAGGTTTTTCAAGGTCAAAAATATATTAAAGCATCTGATATATATAGTCTCGGTATGATTATGTGGGAATTAATGAATGGTAGAAAACCTTTTTGGGATCAAAATCATGATATAAATCTTATTATTGAAATATGTAATGGTTTTCGTCCTCCAATTGTCACAAATGCACCTGAAGGTTATATTGAATTAATGCAAAATTGTTGGCATTCTGATCCAAATAAAAGACCAACAGCTAGTGATATATTTAAAATTGTTGAAAATATTATATTCAATGAATCTAAAATAAGTTGTTTTAATCCAACTAAAATTATTTATTCACCAAATATTGGACCTGTAACAACATATAATCCAGGTGCTATCTATAAAAGTAGATTACTAAGTGAATTGATAGGATTAGTAAAATCTACATTAAGTAATCAAAGAATGATTTTAGAATTTAGTAAGTTAAAATTATTTTTATTAAAAAAATAAAGTTAAATTAAACAAATATTAACTTTTTTTATTTATTATATGTAAATTAGGACATTACCCTTCTATTAATGGTAATTTATTTTAATAATATTTATTTATTATAATAATTTAATATGTTAAAATAATTCTAACTCACACATGTTTTTTTTTAATAAAAAAGATAAAAGAATATATAGTAACTGTGATTTGATTGAAAATAATCATGAAAATGGTATGATGATAAAGATTTTATTTTTTCATAATTGATTAAATAACTTTTTCTAAATCATACTTTCATATTTACTTTAGATAAAAGTATTAAAAGGATCAAATTATTTGAAGACGGAAATAATGGTAAGTGCTATTTCTTTTTATACAGTATAACTATATCCCTGTCATTTTCATGAAAAATTTTTATTTTTAGATTATTTGACTGGATTTGATATTGAGAATAATAATACAAATTACAATGTACTTAACAATAACGGTAAGAAATGTTTTTTAACATATACACTTTAATTTAATAATTTATTAATATCTAAATTACAGATTATTAGATCATGAAATATATATATAGTGTATTAGCTTGATATTTTTGATATTGCAATAGCATGATTATTAGTTTTATTACAATTATATGTTAATACTTCAGAAATTGTATGGATACATAGTAACACATAAGAACATTTTATCAATTATATAATATTATAGTTTTATATTATAAAATATGTATTTATAAAGTATTTTCATATGATGATACTCATGAAAGTTGTTGATGATTATTGTAAGTAAATAAAGAACATTTCATAATTATTACTTAATAGGTGCTATAATATTTAAATATGGTGACAAAAAGGCAGCATCACTTTTGCAATGAAAGTGGTCAATTGTTGTTTTTGTTTGTCATTAATTTCTCTTATAGTTGTTGACTTATCTTTCAGTAATAGGTATAAATTAATTTAATTTTACAATTAGCTATTTGTTCTTAAGTCCATATAGAAATTCTCAAAACAATATTATCCTGAAAATAATTTCTATAAAATAGCAAACTTTTTTTAAATCAAGTTTCAAAAAAAAAAAGATTGAAGTAAAATATCTAATGGATATTTATTAAAATTTTACTAGAAATATGATGTCATAGATTTTACATAAAATGAAATTTATATTTTAACATTTTATTATTAACTTCATTTATATCATCTGATTAATCTTAATAAATTCATATTGTAAAATTTTCACTGTATTTAAATAACAAATGAGAAATCTTTAATATATTTAATATATTTGAAATAAAAAGTTAGATCCTAAAAAAAAAATTTTTAAGATTATAAATCTTTCCATAAAATATAAATTAAATCTGATACAAATAAAGGAATTTTTTGATAAATTTACATAATATTTGATAAATAAAATTTACATAGTAAAATCCTAAAATCTTATCCATATAACTTAAATTGAAATTAGAATAAATTCTTTTGATTTTAACCAGCAAATGCACGATATAAATATTCAATTTTCTATTTTTAGTTTATTTTTTTTTACAAGATACTCAAGTATTAAGGATGATATATTATTATGGAAATAAAAATAAACCTATTTGATTATTTTAACAGATAAATAAAATTTTTCAATAAAATCAATCTGCCTGTTATTTATGACTAATCCTTCTAAAAAAAAATAAGGTCTTTAATAATAACAGCAATAATTGAAAAATTAAACTAGAAAATAAAGAATCAACTATTCAATAATTGAAAGTTAGTAAAAGAAAAATGTTCATAACTTCATATATTTAATATATACTTCTTTAATTATAGATTTCAGAAAATAAACAAATAACATATTTACTAATTAAGAAAAATCTTTTTAATATTTAGCTAAATTTTCATATCTAGAACTCCTGAAATTTTTTAAGACTTCTAAAATATCTGAACACTCTAAGAGAACTTAGCTAAAAACGTTATTTTTTTTTGAATTAGTTTTAATGTTTTATAATAATTTTGAAATATAATTAAGATACTTTTAATATATCAAAATGCTTTAATTATACTTTTATTATTATTTTGTAATTGTACTGTATCTAGCTTTATAATAATAATTCAAAATAATATCACAATAATTTTTTAATATTTTTATAATTATTTATATAATTAACTTCAATATTATTTTAATATTAATTTCAAAAAAAATACTTCATTAATAAGATGATCTTTTTGTTCTTTATATTAACTAGGCAAGGCAATATAATTTCCAAATAAATTATATTTTACTTTACTCATACTGCTAATCAATAAAATATATCAGAAATAAAAGATGCAAAGCTTTTCAGAAAATTGTTTTTTTTTGCATTATAAAATAAATACAACTATAGTTTAAAAAAAATGACTAAATCTATTTATGGCAAAAGTTACCATAAATTTCAAATTTCTATGAATTGTTGTATAAAGCTAGAGTTAGCCAAAAGTTTAAAGCCAGATTTAATTCCAAAGTATACTTTTAGAAATTGGGTTTAGTAAAAAGTAAGAAGTAGTTTTATTTCCATCCATCATAAAAATTTTTTTGGTATAATTTACATAAATTTACAGCATAAGTTTATATAATAATTTACATTAGTTTATTATAAAATGTAAAATTATGAAATTTACATTTACATAAATAATAAAATATGGGTTACATAAACTTATATGATGTAATAAATCTCAAGTTATACTTAAAAAATTTCCTGAAGGTTAATAAGCTTCCAGAAAGCATATTGAGGGTAGAATATAATTTAGCTTTTTCTGCACCAACTATAGTTACATTTTAACTTAATTATTATAACAAGGCTATGAAAGATTATTTTACCATAAAAGCAACAAAAACTCCTCATATCACAAAAAAATAAATCAAATTCAAGCAGAATAGTATACTTATTAGAGTAGGATTAAATTTCTATTTTAATATTTTTTTAAAAAAGAATTAAACTGAAATTATCTTTTTTAATATTTTTTTTAGAAAATCAAATTAAATTATTAATTTTGTGAATTCCCAATACTGCTTCTATTTATAAAAGGAATAATTTTACTAATTGTATTTTATAATGCATCTCCAATACTTCATGTATCAATAATTATTGAAGTGAACAATTCCATATAATTCCCCCAAACATACGTTAACTGAAACAATCTTTGTATTTTAAGCCCAGGCTGATATGAAATTTATTTTATCGAGCCCAGAAGAAATATATATAATAGGTTCAGGTGACAATACTATGAGCTGTATGCAGACTTTTCATTAGCATAATTGACACCTGGGATTTGAAAATCCTACTTTATACGCAAATGTTTCAAGATATAGTATATATAACTCTGAATATATCTGATATTTGTGAAAATAGAGGTGGATTAGAAAGACCTCACCATTTCTGGAAAAAATTCAATGAGCAAAAGAGCTGTTCAAAAAGAAATACTAAAGAAATTTTCATTATAGTTAACATTAATAATTCACTTTAACTCATCATAAAATCACTGTTTATACTGATATATAATTAAACTGTGCATAATATTATTACTGAATTTAAATTAAAATATGCTTTAAATCCCACCCCTATAAAAAATGTTTGTCTGATAAATATTCAGAATGGGGTCGATTTTCTGAACGCTCGCACGTTATTATACAATATTTGTTACCATTTAGTACAAGATGCAGAGATTGAGAATTTTTGACCACATAAAAAACGTACAATATCATGATAATTGTCCAATATATGTCAAGTAAATGTTCAGAACGGGATCAATTTTCTGAACAAAAAACTGAACAGTGTTTAGACAACTTTTTTTATAGGACACATTTTGCTTTTGGTCATTAACAACCTTTTTATTTTTGTTATTTGATAAGTTAGCATGTATATTTTAATTAATCAATTATAATTGACGTTAAAAATATAACTTTTTAGAATTTTTTTCATGTTCAAATTTCCTTTGTCTCTTTTTTGTATCATTTGATTATATAATTCTCAAAAGTTACATGTAGAGTATGAGGAAGGTTTAAGATGATATTAGGAATTAGCTTCTAAAAGAAGTTTCAAAAATACACTCTGAAAGAAAGCTGAAAAAGCGAGAAAAGTTTATGACCTTTTTTTTGTCTTAGTGATGATAACATTAAATGGATGATATATATAATGAATTAATCATTTACAGCTAATGCTATTTCAAATTTAAGTAAGGATGATATTAAATATGATGTTACTTCATAGGTTAGAAGTAATACTAGATAAACTTAAAATATAGGTATGCTCTATGTGATCATGACGGTGATAACACCCATCATGATCAGCACTTTTTTATATAGTATTGCAAAGCATGATTATTGTTATGCATATTAAATTAGTTTTATCCACATCAAATCTAGTAATTGTCAATTTATTATATACAGGATTCATGTATGAACCATAAGATTATATTTAGTGCAGTATCAGGATCATATGTATTGTAACAAATCAAAAGTCTTCATGTTGGTGCAATTATAATTACTACCTAGTAAGGATTGTAAGAGTTGCAAACATATTTACCTATTACTACTTTTGAAGTCAAAGTGTTGTAATATTACAGATAATGATTTTCAAAAATTTCCTTTTTTGTAAAATAAAAGTAGTAATTATAATACTATATAGTAATAACATAATTACAACAAAAGTGTTGTATGTTGTAATGGTTTAACAGTGCAATATTATTTATATATATGATATATATACTGTAACAGAAAAAAATTTTTGCTTGTCTAAATTTCTTTTTATATATATATATATATATAGGTATATCATTATCTGAAGCAGTTAATTTATCTTTTGATCTAGTTTTCACTTTTCACCTTCTATTCTTTTTATATAATATATTATTGCACTTTCAAAATGTCTCTACGTTGAGATCCCCCAATTCCCTCTGTCATCAATTTACAGAGTTGCCACATCGAACGGGCATTCCCATGGTCGAACGAACGAATAAACGAACGAACGAACAATTAAACGAGCGAACAATTAATCAACAACATAATTAACAAACAACAAAATCAACGAACAATATACAACAACATTCTTGGTTCACAACATGAATAGCGTTAGTAATATAAAACGTTGAACGATATAAAATAAAATTTACTTCTCTAAATTTTCCCAAATTATATCCACTTTTACCTTTAATTTCAAACTTCGATAGCTCTCGCTACGAATTATTACCTTCCAAAAGTATATATTTAATTCATCTTAAAATTTTCATTTATTTAATTAAAATTAATTAAGCGAACATTAATTAAAGTTTAGGGTGAACCCATTACCTTTAATTAACATTAAACTTTACTAACAAATAATTAAAAAATAAAACTTATATTTTTATTGAGTTCTGTGGATGAGAACTATTGAATTACTTTGAATTCCGTTCTCTATATATACAATTTTTATGCTACTTTCTATTCTATCTATATACTATCTTTTACATTCTTTACATATTATCTTTGAACTATCTTTCTAATATACTATCTATATTTTAAATACGCTATCTTTTAATATGCTATCTTATATATTATTTTATATGTTATCTTTTCTATTATTCAAATATTACATCGTAAAGAAATAATTTATAACCCATCTTTTATGGCTGTGCTATCTTTTCTTTAAAATAATCTTTCAAATANGTGGCTGTGTTATCTTTTTATATATGTTCTTTTTAATATGTTGTCTTTTATATTCCATCTTTTTACTATCTTTTCATATTATCTTTTGTATTATCTTGTGTTCTTTAATCTTTCCGACATTATTTTATATGTTCTTTTAATCCACTTTATGTGTTTTGCTTATAATCTATCTTTTGTGGCTTATAATTATTCTTTCTTATCGTTCTTGTTGTTAAAGATCGCCAAGCCGCAATTGATCGACTCTATTTATCCTATTGGTTCTTTGTCAATCATTTGATAAATATTACATCATGTAGATCATTACTCTTCTTAAATGTTTATCCTCTTCGGCTAATTATTTATCCATCCACGCCAATTCATGATTAATTTGTTCGTTCTTAATATTTGATAATTACATTTGGCGGTTGAATTTTATCATCTTTTCATGCTTGATATTCGGCCGTTTACAACGTTTTTTCATTTCCAAAAGTAATTTTGATCAATTTGAGTTAACTGCACATATAAACCCTCATTTCTTTCAAATGAATTTTATTGATGGTCAGCTTGACATAATGCCAATAGAAAATAGTACTGGTATATCACTTGATAAATAATTACTTAACAGTTTTTTGTTTAAGCTTTAATCGTACATAAAAAAATAGCTCAAAGAGAAAGGAGAATAATAACACAAGCTGGAAACTGGTGCAATGTTAATTCTAACTTAATTGGAAGCTCTATTTCTTCACAGGTACATTACACAAACATCATATTGAAAATTTTTCTGTTTTCTAAAATTATATCTTTTTATTATAGGGTTATTTTACATTACTGAATGGTGATATTTTAGGCCCTACTTTTGCTGTTGTTCTTACTGCCAGGTTTCTGAATGTCTCCAAATATAGAGATAACTTGCATCATTTTTTTTAATTTTGCTTTATTATTGCAGATGGAATACTTTAACAAATGCTCAGCAGAATGAAGAATACCTGCCAGTTGCACCAAATTTTGTTATAAAGTTATGTTCACAGAGTGATTCACCTCAGTATGTACATAATAAAATGTTGCGGTGGATTAATAGTGGTGTTGAAGTATGTAGACAAACTAGGAAATCTATTTCCTTATAGATTTCTATTAATTAATATTTTATTAGGAGGGATGGTTGATTGATTGATTTGCAAATCCACCTGAAGTAAGAATATATACTTTTAATGTGAATACAAATCAAGTCACTTGGCAAACACTTTTAAATCCTACCCAAATTACATCACAAGTTCTTAGTGAATTTGTAATAAATACACAAAATATTTTTTAATAAAAGATATAATATGATAGGATTAGGTAATTATTAATATTTAATGTTTAAATACTTAGAGTTAACCAACGATTAAATGAGGTTTCTGTTCTTTAGGGTTTCATCCAATAGGCAGAAATGAATAAAGCTTTTCTTTTACTGTATTTTTTTTTGAAGTCATTAATAAATAGCTTTTTTCTTTGCATTAATTGTAAAATGTGTAATTCAAAATGAAAATATGTAGTGTGATTAAAATCTTCTAAGGCATATTTTTGAATTGTTAACATTTATTATTTTGTACCTATTGGAAATCAAAATAATATTAATGAAAAATTACAAATAAAATTTTGCCTAATCAGGCTTTATATATACAGCGAGGATGTGATTAATTTTTTTTGATTGACACTAATTAATTCATATAATCAGTCTCCAGCTTAAAAATAAACTTACAGTATAAACCATAATGGAAATGTTGCAAATTTTATACATTGCTTAAAAACAAGAATATTACACAGATTAAATGTAGTAAATTTGTTATTAAATGGCAGATATTGAAGAGATCATTGACTTATATGCAGAAATCTCTTTTTTTACGAGAAGTATTTGAGTCTACTTAAACAACTTCTCCCATCAATAACAAATGAAATGTGAAAACGTTTATCAACCCAAAAGTGCAATTCGCTTTCTGCTATTGATCAACTCTGAAGATCCTATTATTGAGGCACTTTTAAGACATGAAAATCGTCATCCAATTTCAAATCATCATAACATGGTAAGAACCATATTTTTATTGAGGCTTTTTAGCATTTTCAAAAAGAACATACATAGTATGATTAAAAAAAGAAATGGCAATTAATTAATAGTTTATATATATACAGTATGGATACTAGCCGAGGATGCAAACAGGAACTACAGATTTCTCAGACAAAGTGGATAAAATAATGCAAACAAAAGAGGTGCAGTTTCAAAAAAATCACCTGGATATTGATTTTTCAGTGTAAACGGTCGAATATCAAGCATGAAAAGATGATAAAATTCAACCACCAAATGTAATTGCCAAATATTAAGAACGAACAAATTAATTATGAATTGACGTAGATGGATAAATAATTAGCCGAAAAGGATAAACATTTAGGAAGAGTAATGATCTACATGATGTAATATTTATCGAATGATTGATAAAGAACCAATAGAATAATTAGAGTCGATCAATTGCAGCTTAGCAATCTTTAACAATAAGAACAATTAGAAAGAATAATTATAAGGCACAAAAGATAGATTATAAGCAAAACACATAAAGCGAATTAAAAGAACATATAAAATAATGTCAGAAAGATTAAAGAATATAAAATAATATAAAAGATAATATAAAAAGATAGTATAAAGATGGAATATTAAAAAGAACATATATAAAAAGATAGCATATTAAAAGATAGCGTATTTAAAATATAGATAGCATATTAGAAAGATAGTTCAAAGATAATATGTAAAAAGAACATAAAAGATAGTATATAAATAGAATAGAAAGTAGCATAAAATTTGTATAAATAGAGAGTGGAATTCAAAGTAATTCCATAGTTCTCATCCACAGAACTCAATAAAAATATAAGTTTCATTTAATTATTTGTTAGTGAAGTTTAATATTAATTAAAGGTAATAGGTCCGCCCTAAACTTTAATTAATGTTTGCTTAATTAATTTTAATTGAATAAAATGAAAATTTTAAGATGAATTAAATATGCACTTTTGAAAAGTAATAATTCGTAGCGAGAGCTATCGAAGTTTGAAATTAAAGGTAAAAAGTGGATATAATTTGGGGAAAATTTAGAGAAGTTAATTTTTATTTTATATCGCTTAATGTTTTATATTACTAACGCTATTTATGTTATGAACCAAGAATGTTGTTATATGTTGTTGCATGTTGTTCGTTGATTATGTTGTTGTTAATTATGCTGTTGATTATTTGCTTGTTCGTTTATTTGATCGTTCATTCGATTATTCGTTCATTCGACCATGAGAATGCCCGTTCGATGTGACAACTCTGTAAATTGATGACAGAGGGAATAGGGGATCTCATCGGGTAAAATAGAGCAGGCCAATAATTTATTGATTAATACTACTTTGACAAGATTTTGCATATAACATCAGCAAGTTTTAAACAGGCGTATAAAGTGTTGAAAAATGCCATGTGTTGCTCAACGCCAAAAAACATAGGGAAATGAACCCTTTGTCAATCAACGCCACCTAAAAATGTTGAAAAATGCGTAAAACAATATCAATTTAAATGTAAAACAACATACAGTAAAATAACGATAGTTTAAAAACGTGTATACAATGTATAAAAACATGTATATTGATATTAAAAATGCATAAAGCAATGATTTTATTGTATATTATTAATATATATATTATATAAAATATCTAAATTTATTTATGAAAAAACTCTTCCCTGTACTGTTCATCCATTTTTCACATAAGAAATAATACGATTTTTTCTCGTTAATTTACTAGAAAATTAGCACTGTATTAAGACAAAAGTGTTCCTTATTTTAAACAACATACTTTTTATTATCATTCTTTTCAGTTCGTAAAGGTTTATAAGGGCTTACTAGTCCTTTGCCGCAAAAAATTTGTAGTTTTCTTGCAAAGTTTTCTTTACAAGAAGGCGTAAATACAGTGCACCAATCAGATACAGAATGCCAAATAAAGAAATTTTTGTCGGCTATACTTTTTTCCGTCCAGAAAAAGTGAAACAGTACACAAGTGCAGATAGATATGATCTACTCCACCCGAAAAGAAAAGTCCTACATCCTTTGCATATGGATTCGTTACAGAAAGAAAAAGATACATTAATGATTATCACTAATAATAAACATATAGTAAAGAAATATGATAAGCCGTTTAAGACTAGTTCAGATAGGGCTATTATGAATACTAAATACAGGATTTCAAAATACTTAACAAGTGTATTTTGTGGGTTGTCTATTGATTTAAATGCTAGAAATAAGTATTTTTGTAGAATACTTCAATTATTATTGGATAAACTTGTAGCGATAGAAAATAAATTAAAGAAACAAGAAAAGAATAGACAGACTACAACTTATATTAAATTTAGTTATGGGAAACGAACATGGTATTTAGGATTCTATATTTCATGTTCATTTTGTAGTAATGTTTGTGCTTATGTAATGTTAAACAATAGAAAAGTATGTCAAAATTGTCGTTCAAAGGTGATAGTAACACCTACGCCTTCCACACAAAATACGTTTAAAAATTATTGCCAAAGTAAACAAATTATAAGTAAACGCATAGACGTTACTTATACAAAAAAGGTTTCAATGGATAGTGGCACAGGTAACTATTTAGTTACATACTCGAATTTGGGTATTAACAAACAATTTAAAACGATGAAAAAATAAGAGAAGTATAAAAAGAGGTTTAAAAATAGTCTCAAAAATAACAAGAATAAATGGAAATTGACTAATAATGGATTTGAGTCAAAGTCAGTAGTTTCCAAACATCGATTGAAACGAAGATGTGATATTCTCAAGAAACACTATATATCAGACAAGGAATTGGAGTTTCTGGTAGACCAAGTTACAAGTAAATCAGAATACAACATGTTAAAAGAGGATATTTTTATTAACCATTCCTTCAACAGTAAATATTTTCTTGAATTAAGAAAGAAAAAAGAAGCTGCTTTTGCATGCGAAGATAGTAATGTGGCAGAACAGTCGATCAGTGCTGGTAAGAATACTATGGTCGACAATATTACCACAAATTTCCAAAAGTTAGAAATTAGAGAACAGGATAATATGGTTCCCTGGCAAGAAATACTAGGTAAAGAAGTACTGATTACAAGGCCTGAATTTCATAGGGGTTAAATAGTGTCAGAGATCTTAAAACTCTAACAATGTATTGTAATGGAGTTAGAAATAAAAGACTTGCTTATAAAGTCACTTATGATTATATAATTGGTCAGTGTGAAATAAGAGCTCGTAAGATAAAGAGCAGTTCGTGGTTTTAAGAAGGTATTAATAATAATTAGTTATTCTTGTTTTGTTATTCTATTTTCTTTTGTAAGATGGCTAATTATGAAGAAACAAATTATCAAAAGGGAAAAAATGAATAATTATTTTAGGATTTTAAATCATTTCTTATCTGATAATATTTATATAAGGCTATTTGGTTAGAAAGAAAAATATATAGACAGATTGTCTATTGAATTTATTTTTTTAGTTTCACACCATTCCATATTTGATAATATTTACATATGGCAAATTTTATTTGAAAGAAAAATATATAGACTTCTTTTAGTAGTTTTAACGAATTAATTAGAAAATTTTTTGTGTCATTTCATCATTCTGTATTCGATAGTATGTATATACAGCTTTTTAATAAAGAAAGAATCATACATGCACGTTATTTATAATGTGTAGCGATTAAAAATTTTTTTAGTTAAAATTATACAGGAGTATTCAAGAGATGATATAGATACACAAGAATTAAAAAGTAAAATTAATGGGCTTGATATGTGGGAAATTGGATGCTTATATGATTTTACATTTTTAATGAAAAATCAAGTCAGTTGTCAGTTAATAGAATTTTTAAGGTGCTTTAAAATAACTGAAGAAAAATTGTTATATAAGGTGCTAAAGCAAATAACTGGGAGAGTTTTATTAGAATTCAAAGTGCTTATTTGGGAACCAAAAAACAAGTTACAAATAAAGGAAGAAAAGCGGTGTGGTATTAGCGGTAAAGATAAAAAAGCTAAGTCAAATAGTAAACGCACTGAAGTAGGTGTTAAAGATGTTGACTGTAATATGTTAGAAAGTAATTGGAATAAGTGGAATGATTTGGCATTCCATCGTGATGGTTATTGGGCAAATTTTTAGGTAGATCATGACAGTCACCTTTGAATTTGAGGTCGCATCATGGTTTTTTAACAATGATGTGATCATTTAGATGACAGGTTGACTTGTTCTTTATGAAAAGTAGTCTTGTTTCATAATGCTTAATTCTTATATGTATTTGTTTATCTTATATTTGTAAGTTTATATATGTAAGTAAGCGTGATTATAATAAGACATGATCGCATCTATAATAAAGTTTTAAAAAAAAAAATAAAATAAAATAAAAAGAATTTTAATATTTGATAGATTAATTATAATTATTAATTGCCGATCCGCATGTGATCGATAGAATTTATANCATTAAAATCGAATATTCACTAATTAACATTAAACCAATCCCAACCTTCGAATCTTTTGATATTAGAGTAACAAATATACCAGAATTTCCAAGCGATGAGTTTGGAAATTTTATGGAGTTGCTTACTAAATGGAATTTGTCTGATGCATGTGATAACAATATACTTAAATTTTCAAAAAAGATTTGCCACAATAATGTAATTTTACTTACATTGGTAAAAAAAGGTCATCAATTGTTAGATCAAATTGTTGTACCACATATTTCTTTTAAAAAAGCGCCTATCATGACATATAAACAAAAAATGTATTATCTTCATTATCGTCTGATTTTTGACGTTATAAAGGAATTGTTGAGCAATAAGGATATACAGTTAACTCCCTCTATAGTCACTCCCGTTATAGTCACATTCTACTATATAGTAAAAACAGTTAAATATTCAAAAAACATTATTATTAAAATCTATCCTATATAGTCACAATCTATCTATAGTCACTATCACACCTATCCTCAAAAATCTTATATTAAAAAGAACCGTTTATAATCACAGTTATATAAAGAATATATTAAATAACTTGACATCTAATAATCGTAAAAAGATGTATCATAGCTTATTAGAATTGTCTCACTGAGATGAATCGAATGGTGGTAGTTTTATCCTTTTCTTTTTTTTGCAAACAGTCTTATGACTTTATCTTTTATTTATATTTAAACTTCAAAAATATATTCAAACAATATTACAGAAATAAGAAAATAAACTAATAAAAAATAAAAAGAGTAGCTTCACGACTCATACAAGTAAAGAAATCTAAACTAAAATAATATTAAAGTAAAGAAAAACTAAACTATTACAGAATCGCATACCCCAACTTTACCCGAAGGCCAGTGTAAGTCAACTATCCAACATCCAAAAATCCAGTCCGTTACCAGAAAGAAATCCTAAGAGGTTGAACTGTTAAGCGGCGCAGAAAATCCAAGTGCGAGATCCAAGATCCACCCCAAATTATAGAAGAGGATATCCAAGAAATCCAGGAATCCTGAGAAACTGTCGCCAAAAAAGAGTTGTGAATTTGTGAAGAAGTAGTAATAGATGAAGGATTCGAAGATGGGCCACGTAATTTGGAAGCAGTCGAGATACCCTGTGACTCTTCCCAAGCATGGAAAAGAACATTCCGATATAATCAAATTTCACCATATAGTTCGACTTGAAAGTCATTAAGAAGAGGAGAAATGGTTTTGTATATAACAGAGAGAGGAAAATACTGCTTCAGAAATGTCGTTAAATGCGCGGGTAACAGTCCTCTAGTGAGCCAAAAACAGGACGGAGAAGGGGTATCATAATCCCAACAATCTAAAGTAGAGAATCCAGTTTGGAAAGAAGTATCCAAGAATTTCAAGGATAAGAACGAAGATAAGCAGGAATCTCTAAATTTAATAACTTCAGAACGATGAGTTAAACATGGATTAAGATCAGGTAGGATATAAGGGCAAGTCCAAAGATGGTTCAAATCTTCAGGAGAATACAAGTGAGACTTGCGTTGTTGTAAAGTAGTCAAAGTAGGCAACATATCCAAGAGAAGTTTGATACAGAAGATCCAAAATTCAGGACGACCATTTTTATGTGAAGCGAAACCTTTAATCTGCGAAAGGAAAAATGTATACCAGCCCAGTCAAAAAGTGCAGGGGAGCCAAGTGCAGTAAATCGCACCATAGAGCAAAATGACAAAAGAGCACGAGCATCCACTATAGAACGTAAAAAATAACGAATATTCATGTCAATAGGTAAAGAATTAAAAGTCAATAGACATGGAGCATGACAAAACACTAAAGGTGAGAAGGTAGGTTGTAAAGACTAATGAGCATTTTTAGCCAAAGAATCCGCTTGTATATTATAGATGTTATCACCATGAGCAGGGACTTTAATCAAATCGACATTAAGGTTACGATCCATGATAAGTTGTCGAATAGAAAGCCAAAAAAGATGATTGGGTTCACAAAGCAACGTCGGTAAAAAGGGAGCATTAACGAAGCGTGCTCATAGCGAGATTAACTGACTACAGTTAGTATAAATTGTGATTGAAGAACTATGGGAAAGAGCATTTAATCCTAATATAACGGCATAGATTTCAGAACGCAAGGCTGAAGGAAAGCATAAAGGAAGGCACAATCATCATCATCAAGAGCGAGCCAAGCAGAAGTCATAGAAGGAGGAGAAGAGTCCTTAGCAGAAAAGAATAACTCGTCGGTATACAAGGTATGCACAGAAAGAGGTAAAACATCATCTTCAATCCTTGTTGTGGAAGGAGAGGAAAGGGCGAAAGAATCAGGCGAAAACAAGTTTGTCAAATGTACAAGAGCTAAAGAAGTAGCGTAACTCCATGAAGTAGATAAAGTTATAGGAAGATAAGCCGCAAATACTTTAGCATTTCTGGTAGGATATCCTACCGTTTCAGATAAACAGACATTGAAAAAACATCTTTCGCTATTACAGCGCTGTTTAATTGCAGATTTCTTGGACAGAGCAGGTATGTTAAGAAAACAACCAGGGCAAGGATTGTAGAATCATTCATCGGCCGAAGTAGATACAGGAAGCAAATGAGGCATGATAGCAGAGTTTTGTTTCTTATAGGTGATACAGACACGGCCAACAGATAAAGTTTGAGGAGCAGAATTAAAATTAATAGTCCATTGAGGATAAAAATGATAATCTTTAACAGTATGATCTAATAAACAAGGTGAAGCTAAAGTAAAAGAAGAATTAATAAAATACAAAGGCAAAAATAAAGAAGAAGAAAAGGACGAAAGGAAATTATTTTTAATAAAATTAAACCAAATAGAAATCCGTCCTTTATGACCAACGATACCAAGGTAATGAAGATCAGACCAATTCATAAGATAACGTCCACAAGGGGAGGCCAACTGGGCAAGCACAAAAATATTCAAATTTTTCCAGAGTTTCCAAGCAGTCTGAAAAATTGAATGTGGTAAGATGGATCGGAGCGGCAGAGCTGTTTGTAGATCCCACCTCGGAGGTTGAAAAGGAAGGGACCACGTAATATTCAAACGCGAAGAAAATAAAATTGAATTAAACAAAGTATGTGTTCGAAGAGAAACAACTTGTGACCATAGTTTCAAGCTAATAACAGTCGGGCAGCTTTCAGCGCCCAAATATCCTTGAAGATAAGAAATAGCATAAAAGGCAAAATTCCTGAAATCAGGATGTATGAATATCTTTTGCCAAGATGCAATATGGGAGGAGAGGAACCGATAAAAGGCATTTTGAATCGAAAAGGGAAGTTTGAGAAATAACAAAGCCAACGGAGTAGTAGTAGCGAGTTCAGCTTTTTTCTGTAAAACTGAAAACATGGGTTTAATAATTGAATGAATCGTATTTTCTGAAAAAAGAGTAGTTTGCAGATAAAATTCCAATCTCAGAAGAAGAACAGCATTATAGAAATAGGCCACATATTGCACCAATAACTTTTTTGGACCAAGAAGTGCAGCCATATCTTGAACCATAGAGCGCGCTTGTTTAAGTATAAATTGGGAAGAAGCTGATAAAGAAAACCAAACACCTAAAAAAATGGAATGAAGTATTCAAAGCTAAAGAAGAAAGAGAAAGAGAAGTTACTGAAACCAAGGAAAAGGGTAAAAGATCAAAGGTAATGTTCGATAAAGGGGAGGAAGAAGAAAGTAGAACATATTTAGCCGAATTGGCTTGAACATTATTTAAAATATAAAATTCAGCAGTAATGGAAAGGCGATCTTCAATTCCAGACTTCAAATAAGCAACAAGTGTAGAGTCATCCATAAAGGTCAAATGTGAGGTTGGTAAAGAATGTTGTTCAAATTCAAGTGGAGAATAATCTAAAAGAGCTGAAGATTTTAAAATGAAAGGATCTCGTGCTTCTTGATTCAAAACAGTAAGTAGGGGGTCCAGGTAAATAACCCAAAGTAAAGGGGAAATAACTTCTCCTTGATCGATACTAATACGTACTCGATAAGCAGCAGTATCGCCATAACAAGTAATAATTTTATTATTACGTCATATAAAAAGATTTAAAATAAATTACATTAAAAGTATAGAAATATGTAGTTTAGCTAAAGCTAATTTAAGCATATTCAAATCCATGGAGTCAAAGGCTTTAGAAATATCTTGAGAAACGATCTATAGTTCCTGATCATTAGTAGAGTCATGTTTATGTTGATGGATAATCGCATCCAGCATTTTGATAGGGATATCAGTAAAACCACCAGGTAGACCTGCAAAGTTACCTCCTTGAAGAATTTTACTATCAGCAAGGATGTTGGAAAGACGATTAGTGATGACTTTAACTACACATTTCTGAATCATTTCCAGAAGAGTAATAGGTCAAGTGTTCTTGAGTTGAGCATTAAAATCATGGAGTTTAGGAATAGGATAAACTACGGCTTCACGCCAATCAGCAGGAATATCACCGCGAGAGAGGCGGGTATTGGCAAGTAAAAGAAAGAAATCCAAGGCTTCACCGGACAAATGTTTTAACATTTCATAAGAAATTTTTGAAGGGCCAGAAGCTTTGTTGTTTGGCATAGAGGAGATTACATCAGACTACTCTTGTAGGGAAATAGGTGCCAAAACAGGATCATATAATGAAGCAGATACGCCAGAAAGGGGGTGTAAGCTTGTTGCCATCGAGCAGAAAAT